AATTTAATAATAAATATTAATAATTATTGGGTGAAAATGCTTGGCATTGGATCCAAAATCTATGGACGCCAGAAGTTTGGGAATAGGACTGAGGAGGAGGGTGGGCGGACTGTGACTGGGAACTTCCTGGCTCCCTCTATCGACAACATTCCGAACTACAACAACCGCCCCACCACCAAAGCCGCCACCACCACCGTGCTCCGTGTGGCTGCACACATGAATCCAAAACCATCCTGAGCGTGTTGGGAGTGTTTTTGCAAATTTTCATAAAAAACTTGAAATTTGCAGCTTCCGAAAATATTTAGACTTTTCCTCAACCCCTCGCCCTACGCTGCATCCTGCCAGATTCCCTCCTTGAGGAATTTTGGAGCGGAGCCGGGAAACTCCGCAGCTTTTCCTCACACGCAACCTCAGGCGCCTCGAGCTCCCGCCCGCAAGCTGACAACACTCAGCCGGGAAGCAAACGTCGTAAAATCACGAACTAATAACGTGAGCGACGGCGGCGGGGCGCGAACACGGCAGCTGGTCGGCCTGAGTCACGGCCGGCGGAAAGCTCCCCTCCCTGTCCACTTCTCCGTAGTCCCCGGCCAGTCCTTTAACTCTCCCAGTGGCGACCTTGAGCATCCAGTCTTTGCTCGCTTTTGTCTAATGGCGTGTGAGCAGCACCCGGACAGGGCCCGCTTGACAGCAGGGGCCGTTACCATAGCAACCAACTGCGCTCTGCTCCAGAAAGGCCCCTGAGTAGCAATTTGGGAAGCAGTTACTGAGCACAAGTTAGGGGCACGGGATCCCCATGTCCCTGTACACACACAGCTGCCCACAGGAAGGGGAAAGACAAGGGGGGACGGCTGGGACCTCCCCAGGCTCTCCATCCCAAGCCGTAGGAGTGAACAGGACTGGAAGGTCTAACACCCAGTGTCATCAGACACGCATCCAGGATCAGGAAATGCACTTTAGCTCTCCCCGCTGGCTTGACATGTCATCCGGCTTTGAAGAGCTGAACTGCAAAAATTATTCCTAACAATGAGAGGGGAAAAATAATCTTGAAATAAAGCCACAGATACAGGTTCCAAAAAGGATGAGTGGCTCAGAGCGTCACTGGTTTGAGAAAGAAAGCGCATGTCCTGCACATCTGTGGTTTGCTGAATGGGCAGCTTACAGAAAAGGCACAAAAAGGTCATAAAAGGTCACCAAAAACTCCACGCAGAAGCTCAGGTTTTTCTGAGGGAAATCCGACAACATTATATTCTAGCCTTCACAAGAGGGTGGTTAGCAAGTAGGACTGGCCCGACATACTTCATATTTATACGTGCAGACCTGCCCAGAAGAGGGTGATTCCACTATCGTATTACACATCTTCCCTCCCACCCGTAAAGGACAAAAAGTTGGATAGTTTTGCTGTTACCTGAATCCCAAGATGCCACCATGAGTCTCAGCTGATTTGAAGGCATCTGATGGAGCTTCTCCTGTCATGTCCTCCCCAGAGTACCCATCTTTCTTTGCTCAATGGAATCAAAACTCTCACTCCCAGTCCTCCACAAGCCGTCCCTGTATGGCATCACCTTCCTGGTCAACCCAGATGGTGTGCTAAGTCCCCTCAGAGCACCTCTTATCACCACTGTGATAATTGTCCTTTGGAGCTGGGCAGGGAGCTCTGCTGGCCTAGTGGTAAAAACTGCACTGCAATTCCAAAGGCACACGGTTCCAACCCACCAGCTACTCCATGGAGAAAGATGGACAGTCTCCTCCCACATGGTTTATTTCCTCTGGACACATTCTGGAGGGTCAGTTATGTGTTAGTTCCCACACAGCAACAGGAGATGGAATGGGTGAGGGCGAGATGTCCGGGGCAGCAAAGTAGAGGACGAGGGCCCTGAAAACCATGGAGCCTGGCTGTTAATGCCATCCAGCCCACCTGTGCCATCAGGAAATAGGGAAATAGCTGACTCTTCCTATTTATCACGAGAACCTAGAAAACTGCTGGTTTAAGTGAAATTTTCTCATTTTCCACACCCTAAATTGCTGATTTTTAAAAACAACAAGTCTAGAGGCTTGAGACCTGTGCCAGGTGAGCTATTTTACTTGCTCAATGGCTCTGATAAAACTCCAGGGCTGTGGACCACAGGTAGCCTGGCTCCTCTGATGCCCCAGTGCCTGGCACAGGCACACACTGGATGCTGGACAAGTCATGAATGAATGAACAAAGGGTTGGGTGAATGGCCAGTCATAACAAGTCCAAAGTCAAAAAACCCAAAACAATGCCCGAGTGTGAGTAACTCCAGAACTGATTAGCTGTGTGACTCTGGAAAGTCATTCTATGTTCTAGAAAGTTCTCTGGGGACTTGGTTGATGTATGACATCTTGCCTCTCACACACACATATACATTCACACACACACACACACACACGGCTGCTGAGAGGATTAAATAAATACCAAATGTGTGCTTTCCATTAATCCAGCCAGTGAGTTATTCTACTTTGAGGTCCCTTCATAAAGGGTGTAATGATTAAGTATGCAGCCGTTAACGGGAAGGTTAAGGGTTTGAATATGCCCAGACGTTTCACAAGAAATAAAACCCCCGTCATCTGCTCTTGTAAAGACTGCAGCCTAGGAAGGTCAGATAACCCACAGGACAGTTCTACTCTGTTATGTGGAGTTGACATGAGTCAGAAAACTGACAAGACCTAACAATAAAAAAGAGCTTTGGTGGTGTCATGCATTATGTGTTGTTCTGCTAAACAAAAGGTCTCAGGTTCAAATCCACTCACTGCTAAGGGAAAGAGGGGCAGTCTCCCCCAGTAAAGATTTTCAGCCTCCTTGGAGATGTGATGGAAGATCACTGTAAGGACCAGCTTGATGGCAGCACTATTATAAAACAACTATATAGCCTCCCTTCACAGTTAATTGCATAAGAAATAATCTTCCTGTCCCCTTTGACTTTGGTGGGGCGAGAACAGGACACCTAGATGGAACGTGGCCACCAGGAAGTGCTCAGAGAGTGTCAGCTGTGAGTGTGGACGGAGGAGCTTGAGCATGGGGACAGTGGCAGCTCTGTACGCCACTCTACTACCCGGGGAATACACGGGAATGCGCCTTCCATCAGGACACACGTGGTCAGTCCTCCTCGGGCACAGACGGGTGCTATCACATGCCCACCCCTGACTTTCACATGAATCAGGCTGTTTGCCTGAGGCCCCATTATGCCAACACAAACCCCCACACATTTGCCGCTTCACCCTTTCATATTTCTTACACGCTGCCTCCCACCGAGCATCTAGGGAAGAAAAAACCCCCAAACTGCACTGTCAATAAATGCACTTGTTTCCACGAACAGTATTCCTAATGAGGAGGCCTCAGCACATGGCAACATTTCTGAAGGCCTAAATGAAACTCTGAGCAAGCACTGAGAAGACTCTTTTTTCTATCTGCAGGGTGGCCTGAGCAGTGTTGACTGACTCAGGACAGAACTTACAGATGGCTCAGTCACATGCTGAAGGAGGACATGGAGTTTTGTCAAACCAGATGGAGAAATCCTGAGAATCCTAACCTCTAACAAACCTGGGCCAGATGTGGCACCTCCCACCCAGAATGTCTACATTTCTGTTCCAGGATCCGCAGGTGTTCAGCCCCATCTGAGTCTGAGGAGTCTAGCTTCTCTACACTTCTAGGAAGTTTTCTTCCAAGCTAGAATTTTGGTCA